CTACATTGGAGGAACGAGAGGCTTTTATTTCCAGAAAGGTCTGGAGACGGAAAGGAGTCACGCTGTCACTGGTAGAAGATGCTGGCAACTGGCTCTTTTCTAGTTTTTAGAAGCATGAGATGGACTCGAAATCCCCCCAAAATTTAACGTTTGCATTCCAATCGATCGAGTTGGCCACTGTTGAAGCAAGAACTTCAAACACCGTAGTGATGTCGTAATGAAGCCTTCCGAAACTGCAACTTTAAAGGGGCACTGACACCCCAAAGGTCGTATTTATTTTTATTGTCTAAAACGATGCAAGTTGTAGTCATAGACATGCAAAAAAAACCGCATCGCGAAAAAAAATTTTCCCGCGCGCGCGCGCGCCTTTTTATTCTTGGCGTTTGATTTTCCCGCCTCTCGCCTCCTCGCTTCTTTTGATCGGTGACGTCAAAAATCACGAAATTTAGAAGCTTTGTAGGCGACATCTCTATAACATTTAATTACGGCAATCTTAAAACATGTTTTTTAACGCAATTGCGAACGCACTACGGCCCTTCTTTTTGAAATACCAAAAATCGGGAGTTCGTTGTGGTGCCGTCTCCTGGATTTGTATCCTCCAACGGAAAACAGGCGACACCGCTCAAAACCGGTCCGCCGCAACGCTACGCCGGCGCTAGCCGGCGTTCGCTCCTATCCTCCTCGCTTTGGGTCGCCATGGCAACAGCAGGGAGTGGTGACAGGAAAGTGGACTCTCAGGTCTCCTCAATTTTTGACGTCAAGGCACCGGCGCCGATCGCGCGGGAACTTCGAATTCGGCATTTGGAAATTGTTTTTTTACTTCACGAATACTGAATTCCCAAATCTCAAATTTTGAGGGTAATGTCCCGGCATCGTTTTCAATCGTTTCGGATAATAAAAAAAAATATGATTTTGATGTGTCAGTGCCCCTCTAAGAAACAACCCCAGCCTGTACCTCGGGTGTTTGGCCCCATCGCTAACGAAAATATGGCACTCAAATATTAAGAGTGGGCTAGTTAGATAAGCGTTATAAAGAGTAAATAGGGTGAAATAGCTAAATTGGTGGATGCTCAATTGTGGTTGTGGTGACCACTCTGTACGATTAACTAGCAAATGGAAGCCCACCTGCTACGTGACGAAAGAAGGCCTTTTGAACTCTTTTGAACATCCATAAGGAAAGGGGATAACCTCCCTCCTTCCTTTGGAATGTTGATCGGCTTTTCCCCAGCGCCCTTTGGTTAAAGATTGAGCTTTTGCGCACATTCCCTTGCCTGAGTTGCACCGACCGCAGGCACAAGATATCCACTCTGACCTCTGGAGTTTTGGTGGAGAGGGAAGCGTCCTATATGACAAATCTGTACAGACGTGCTTAATTCAGAGTCTGCTGCTGTTCCATTCCTTTAATGGGCAGCCGGTTGCTACAAAGCTTCCTGCCGAATCTTTCTGGGATTTATTGCCTCGGAGTTTTGTCCGTCTACAAGCTAGCAACACGAATGGCAAAGGCGCCCTCGGCATTGCCGAGGACTGTAATTCCAATCGATATCTTGCCTCGAGACAAGTGAGCGTATTCAATTCGGCGCGCTTATTTCCCTAAATTCATTAATATCCTAGAAAGCTCTTATTAGGTTGTCTACCAAAACTTGCGAAAGTTAGGGTCGTTCTCTACCAAGGCCGACGACACCAAACATCCTTAAAACTTAATTTTTGGGGACCTCTAAATACTTACAATTTAAGGTGAAAAATCCACCCCCTCAGATTGTGTCCAATACTAAACTCGGGGGAAACGCTACCAATAAAGAATCAAGAATGTTTGGGAATTGTAGAAGCCATTGAAATGTAAGAAAAAGAGAAATAACCCGAGTGGTTGGCTGTCTGGGCGTTCCTCAGAGAGGAGGTCTGCAAACTGAAGGCTCCGAAGGTGGCCGGATGCTGGGGCCCAAGTTTGTGAGAGCAGTCGCTGCTCTAGACGCAGGGTCAGGAACTGCAGGGTGAGAGGATGCATCCACCAAAAGGAAAAGGAACTGACTTCGTCCAGGTTCCAGGCTAACTGTCTCTGGCACACGCTTTTTTCTAAAGCCTGTCGTCTGCCACTCCTGGGTGTTTCACCTGGATGCACGGGGATCTTATTAGCGAAAGGAGAGAAGGAAACTGCACTAAAGGCATATAATTGCGCCGTATAACGAACCAAAAAGTATTTTATGATCGGTCGACCCTAATATTGGGAGGAAAGGAAAATGGTACGCATTTCACAGTGTCTCTACTTGCTGTTTCATCTTAGGTCAAAGCACAGTTGAAGGTTCCAACACATACAATCACACACTTTACGAAACACGGAACATTTGTTCGTTTTGGGTATGAAAGAACATGAATGTCGCAACGGCGCGCTCTGACGCTGTCTGTTTCTATTGGCTCACAGTCTCTTCGACGCTTAAAGTGAAGTATGAGGTTGCTCACCAAAAGAGCTGGGACAATGTCGGCGATGTCACGAGAAAAGTTTGCAAAATAGGGGGATGGCGGCTACTGTGGTAGTCCACAGCCAGGGTCTTTTACTCCCGATGAGATCACTTGACCGTCGTGTCTGGCAGATGCCTCCACGCCATGGCTACAGTGAGGCACTTTTTCCGCTCGCCACGACCTTCATCGCTTCTCGCCAGCAGGCTTACAGCAAGCTCCACCGCTTTGTACCAGAGTGCTAGGTGCAGCGGCTGGCACGATGAGCTCTGAAATGTTGCCTCTTACCTTCTTAGGCCTTGATCGAGGCTACGCCGAGTAGCAGAAAAATTGTTGGTCTACATCAAGTGTTGTGGAGAGGGGAGTGCAAGGAGCTTGCTTTTCCGTAAAGAAGTTCGACTGACCTAATAGCACGATGGTGGGAGGGAGGAATAGTTTTTTTCCCCTCGGGCAGATGGCGCCACTGAAGCTGAATATAGTGCAACTTTGTCGATGATTTGAGGTTTTCGACGCATTTACTTATGATTAGATTGAGTACATAATGGCACATCTTGCCAACCTATTACATTATAGCCACTGCGCGTCACGCCTTAGTTCCCATGGCCACCACCCCGCGGCCGCAAATCGCGAAATATTTGTTCTTTTCTGCGCTATTATGCGACGGTATAACAGTATTTCAAAAGAATGAGACGGTTTGTCCATTTCTTTTGGTAAGATAAATAATAAAAATTGAAAACTGACAATTCTTTCAAACTTTAAATTAGTGCATCGTCCCTTTAAAGATGGCTGGCTGACACATGGCTTGCCCATGCCGAAGACATGAAAGGTTCACCGCACAGATGGGGCTATGACGATACCCAACCACGATTTCAAATGAAACCACCCAGATGCCATTCTGGAGGTGTGGTGATGAGCAATTTTGCCCATGAATGATGTTGCGTCTGTATCAAACAGCCGCCAGCCAACCTTGGTAGTTAGCTACGGAGCGTGGTGCCGTCTCTCGCATGTCTATGGACAGCTTTGGCAGCCAAAGGCCCGAGGAGGGCAAAGCACTCGTTCTCCTTCAATGACAGTCTCTTTTCTGTTCTTTGTCTTTACCTACAGCATCAGCTGGGACTCTCCAACTTAGGGAAGGGACGGTGGTGTGTATGGGGGAACACTCCGTATAATTAGGATTGATAAAAATCGTAGATACAGCGGTCGGCAACCCGCAAAGCTGTTTTATGCGGTCCCCGGCTCGACAGCAGGAAAGCCCCCTACCACTTCACGTAAAATAGCTGCACCCTTAGTAGTTCAGGTGCGCTCTGGGAGTAGGGTGCTGTCCAAGGGTAGTTTTGGTTTCGCCGGTTTGTGCACCTTTCGTCTGCTTTCGTCTCTGCACCGCCGTTGCTCACTTCATCGGGGATTGCTCCACACAAGCACGATGCAACAAGTACCCTTTTCTTCTCATCGCTACATATCAGACACAGCAAATAACGAAACAATTACGATTTTGCCAGCTGGGGGAGTAAGTGAAAACACTGCAATGGTGCAAGTCAAGTGAACGCAGATAGACGTATGTCGAATGCCATGCCAGCTCACTGCATACATTTGTTTGCAACCTCGTGGACAGCCACTGAGACTGCTACTCCACTCTTATAAGACCCTCGCTCCCGTGGCCAATTACCTCGCTGCGACGTAGCAAGAGGCGCATGTTTGCGCTTGAACGAATCCTCGTACTAGGAGGTTCGTCATGTATTGCATTAGCCTCATTGAAAATAGCAGTCGGTGAAGCAAGGGTGTTATAAAACTGGCGTACTACTCTCAGTGGCTGTCCACGAGAATGCAAACAAATGCACGCAGTGAGCTGTCACGACGTTTGATGCACGCCAGTCTGCGTTGACTCGACTTGGCCGTTGCAGCGTTTTCTTTGTGTCTGATACGAAGTGACGAGAAGACGTACTGCATCGTGCGTAAGTGTGGAGATGATAGCAGACGACAGGTTGACAGTCTCCTGTGCCCAGAGTGCACCTGAACCATTAGGGGTGCTGCTGCTTTGCGTATTGCCCATTGGCGTCGTCCGGGTATTTGGGCAGAGTACCTCTTGACTTCCTTTTACTTCTTTGTCAGTTTGCGATTTGCCGTCCGGCCCCATCCGTGGCGCCTTCGTGACGACTGTGCCCGCCGCGGAAAAAGGTTGCCGACCGCTCATTTAACATGTTTAGACTTGTTGTTCTTAGTTTTGCACAAATTCAAAGTTGAGCATTTAAATAGCTCTTTTCAGACATTAGTCTAAAGCTTTCTTTTCTTCTTAAGAGCAGCTTATTGGCTGCATTTGGATGAATCATAATATGCTGAGTAGTGTCTAAAATAGAAAATGTTTGGCTCATCTCTCAAAAATGACCACTTTATCTCGTGGTACGAACAGAAAGAGTTCACCCGTGCCATTGAGCCCGTGGTTCGTGCCAGCCGCTTGAATGAGTTTCTAGCGTGTTTTCTCGCAAGTGGCAGTCGGTTAGCGGAAAAGGGCCCAAGCGGAGGACTGACCTGTGCCCTTTTCTTGCTTGCAGTGCCAAGCTTCTGATCAAGGGGGAGCCCAACGTGTCCTACATCTGTTCGCGTTACTACCGGGCGCCGGAGCTCATCTTCGGTGCGACCGACTACACGACCATGATAGGTGAGTGGCCGTCCTCTTTCGACCTCCTCTGTAACCCTTTTTCTTTGGCTTCTTTAGTAGTTTTCATGGTTGCCGCTTCATCCTCGCTCGGGCGGCCTGGTTTTGTTTTGCGTTATGTGCTGCCGAATGCCATGTCACGGGAGTGTATTGCTGCATTCTGCCGTGCAAGTCGGGCATTCGGACGTCGACAAGAGTCGCCTTCCACAAATTCCTGGTGACCAACGTACCAAACGAGTGGTTGCTGAACAAATTGGATCCTTTGAAATGAAATAGCGTCAGAACCATTGTGCTCCATTTTGCCCGAGGACATTCGGTGATCTTTATTTTTGCAGTGACAAACGCCCGGCTTTCTCCCAAATGTTTGTTTTTCCTCGTATATTTGATGTGTCAACGAAGCAATAAAGTTGCCGTTGAGCGAAAGGCGCAGCAACAATGTTACTCTCAAGCAGCTGCTTAGAAACTTTCTGTTGTTTTTTATTACGGGTAATAATACGGAGTTTTAGTAGACCGTGTTTCCCGCTCCACTAGCCCTCCGCTACGAAGAAACCGCCACTGCGCCTGCGCGCCGATGGTCTTGGCTGTAGAGTTCCGGGTAGCGGAGGGGCTTAGCGGAGCGGGAAACACGGTATACTAAAACTCGCTAATGTCTCAAAATGTTTTTGTCACGAAGCGTAGCAGATTTATTAGAAACATATGCTTGAGGTACTGCCACATTGTTCGCAAAGCATTTAAGAATTTGTTTAGTAAAGTGTCCACTATTCAATTATTAACCGACGCGACCAGACTATCTCCCAACTTTAGGCAGGTTCTGTTAAGTGTTAAAAATTAAACATCTTAATCGGTGCTTTGGCAAAAAATGGTGACTTTTAGAATAAGGATGTTTGGGAAAAGTTGTGCCAGCATTCCTCGTTTATTACCAACGATGGTCCCCAAGAAAAAAATAAGAAAAATGAAAGCCATTTACAACTCCCTGTAACGCCAAATTAGAGCACAGCTCTTGAGGAGGAGGAGGGAAGGGTACTGAGCGTCACGTGTTTTCGGGAAGGGGGGGGGGGGAGGGGAGGGGGAGGGAGGGAGGGAGGGAGGGAGGGAGGGAGGGAGGGAGGGAGGGAGGGAGGGAGGGAGGGAGGGAGGGGAGGAGGGAGGGGGGAGGGGAGGAGGAGGAGGGAGGGGGGAAGGAAGGGAAGGGAGGTCACGTGCATAGGTCGGCATTTTAGACCACCTTCATTCACCATCACATCACAAACAAAATCACGTCTCCGAATTCATTTGCCTTCACGTCACAAGGTACTCCGACCTCCCAAAGTCACACGGCCCTTCACATCCCGGCGTTCAACCGTGCCAAAACTTCATCCCCTTCACATCACGGCTTTCAAACTCCGCCGAGAATTCATCCCCTTCACATCATGGCGTTCAACCGCGCCAAGAATTCATCCCCATAACATCACCGCTGCCTCCGAATTCACGGAGTCATTCACCATCACATCACCAATTCACGAAATCACTCACTATCATTACGAATTCATCGGAATTCACTATCACAGTGATGTGATTGCTGCGCCAATTGCGCCAAACTGCACCTATGGGCTAACCTTGCTACATCCTGCCACATTTTGCCAAAATATCGGTAATCTGCGCCAAGCCTGCGCCAAAGGACCGATTTCGGTCATTTTTCAAAACCAAAACTAAACTGAGAACCGCAATTGGGCATGCGTGAGCTAGGTGGCGCAAGCGGCCTCCTGACACAAAGATACCCTGCGTCAATCGTCCATCCGGTTCCCCCTTGTATGGTTTTTCCCGCCGTCTCGCGTTTCGCGCCCTTGTCGTTTTGGGAATCTCGTCTCACGTCTTTTTTCTAATTTTTTCAACGATAGACGCGGGCGTGTGCGGACGCTCCGATGCTAGTGTGCCAGGTGCCAGCAATGCTGTCGTGCTGTGAAACAAAACCACGTTTTTGCGCTGCGAGAGTTACTTTGTGAGCTGAAATGCTCGCACTACCACAATCACCGTGGTCGCGCGACGTCGGGTGTTGCCGTCCCCATGTCACTGCAGATATGGCGCTTTCTAAACTTATTCATCGACATTCCTGTCTTTGTTTAAATCATAATCTAATACAAAAATCCTTCTTTAACTCAATGACTGCTTGTCGAAATATTGATTGCCTAGGTTTTTCTCGGTGGGCTTTCTTTCGAGAGAACTCTGGTACGTGAAAAATCTGCCACGATAGGAAAGTTGGTGAAGAGAAGTGAGCTAAAGCAAAGAAAGTAATGTCTGCACGCTGAACCCGCACAGCGCGCTTGTTTGTCTTGAGTTCAGTCGTTGCTCAAAGTGCTCCAAGAACTTTTTGACCCTGGCTGGCGATGTCATGCATCGATGCGCTCAGGTTCTTTTCTTTTTTTTCTGTGTTTAGTTTGTTCTCGCCTTCCGGCCTGGCAAGCACGCGCCGCTGGACTGTTTTTTTTATCGTATGCTAGACAGTTACATTTTGCATACTACGACTACGACAGATGCACCAGCCGGGACGCTTGCAATCCATTGTTTTACGTTTGCTTACTTTTGATGAAAATCTGGCACGTCAGGAACCAGTAAAACAGTAGCATGCATTCTTTTCGGAATTGCTCGGCAACGCCTACAATACACTTGTGGGATGTCTCAGCAGTAAAAACACAAACAGCGAGTTCCGACAGAACACAGCACAAAGTGCCTTTCGTTTGTCCACCACTTACAACAAATATTTGTATTTTTCTAGGAATATCTGCTCCAAAAGCCACTTTTGGTGCTCCGAAACACTGTTTTGGCTGCTCCAAAAGCCACTTTCGCTGCTCCAGAACACTGTTTTGGTTGCTCCAAAAGGTGCTCCAAAATGGCTTAGGCCAATCACATCACTGCTCTCACGTCATTAATTTCCTCCGAATTCACCATCACATCATGAATTCATCCTAATTCACCATCGCTTCACGTATTCATCCGAATTCACCATCACATCATGAATTCATCCGAATTCACCATCACCTCACGAAGTTATTCCGCATAATTCTCGAAATCATTCAGGTTCATTCTGACTAAATTCGACTTCACGGCTGGAAGCCTTTCCTGAGTTCGCTTCAACGTTCACTGAATGCCGAAAGGGCATTCGTTTTCGTCTCGGTTTATTAACTTCTACACAAAAAATTAATGAAATATCGACTTTTTCTTTCTTTCCAACTGACCGCAAAACAAGTTGCGGCGTAATTTCGACGGTCGTGATGTACCCTGGCATAGGAACCGGAAGTTCTCTCAGCAGTAAGAGAATGGGAGCGTTAGCGGCGGCGAGTTGGGGGTGCGCCGGTAGGTTTTACTGCGCTGATGTCACCGACGTATTTTCTGAATCGGCGCTTCTCATCGCCACGATAGCCATGGACACATCGCAGCTGAGCGAAATTCATTGAGATATGTTGCGCTACAGAGACAGCATGGGACTAGTCCCATACGCCGATACGCCTGTTGGGAAGTGCTGCGAGTTCTCCGGTGAACACTCCAGAAGCCAACCCAACTGTCATTGTTGGTAAAAGACGGCCCGCGCTAGTCATTTGCAAAGCGACGTAGATGAAAATAAATTGCCGCGGCGTTTTTCGCAGCCTCAGAGATGCAAGAGCGAGCTGACGTTAAAAAAGATACATTTGAACTACGACATTGTCAGCAAGAGCCACTAAAATACCTGTTCACACTCGGAGCGGACGCGCACGTTTGATTGAAGGGCTTTATTCGCGCTGTTGGTAAGCGCTTTGGGACCGTTCTTTTACGATTGCAACTCGATACTGATGTGACACTCGGCAAAGGAAAGTTGGACCGGCATTGCACGTAGCTCCCACGAACTGTTATAGCTTGACAGTGATGTGCAGTCGTGTCAGAATAAAAATGGCACACTAATAACAAAGTGTACATACCGTGTTACGAAGGTAATCCATACGGCAATTATTTGAGCTCCATATCACACAGAACATGGAGATAGAATCGATGAGAGTCCCTTTTCGACGGCAGTGTTCGTCACCACTGCCTCGGAAAACAAGGAGATGACAAGGGGAAGAGATTGACCTCACCTCTCAATCTAAAATTGAGGTCAGCAATCAAACTATAATACGGGAAGGGTCCACAAGGGTCACGCGGCCATATTCCATTCAGCACGCCTGCCAGTCGTGGGCAGACGGTCTTGGCCAAGTACCGTCGAAGCAACGCTGCGCTGGGTCAGAGTGCCTCCTAGGCCTAAATTTTGCCGAACTCGCTTGGTCGGGGTCGGTGGATTCGTGGCCGTTGTAGGTTTTCTCGGGTGTTTGTGGATCCAGCATTCTTGTTCGTCGTGGTCTGTTTCAAGTACTTTTTACTTTTAGGGGCGAAGCTCCTTGGGGGCTAGCCATATCCGTCCAATGTCTGGCGTCGGGTGCTCGTGCTCACGACCACGTGAGCACGTGCTCTTGTGCTTGTGTAGGGCAAAAAAAGAAACTACCGCATCTCCACGTGGTGAATGATGTTTATTGGAGTGAAGCTCTGGTGGTGCTTCTCTGCATAGACGCTGAGCGGCAGCATGCCAAGCCTTTCGTTTGTTTTCATTCATGTCAGAAAGAGAATGTGTGGTATGGAACGTGGTTATATACGCATTTGAGCATTTGACCGCAGCGTGACATGGATGAGAAAACAAACGAAAGGCTCGGCATACTGCGGCTCAGCGTCTACGCAGACAAGCACCTCCTGAGCTTCGCCCCAATCAACTTCATTCACCACGTGGAGATGCGTTTTTTTTTTTTTTCTTGCTGCTTGAAGTCGAGACGCGCGAGTAGAACAGGTAGAAAAATAAACTGTTCATTGGTCGTCGCGACACACGGCTCTGGTCGCGACCAAGTAACTGAGCGACGCTGTCGGACCTACTGTGCAGGCGCAGTAGGATCTTTTTCTTGCTTCGTTTGCCACACTATAGATGGTGCTTGGCTCTCAGCATTATCAAATTTGGCAATTTTCGTCATATCTCTAATTATGCTAAAAAATGTGGATCTGAATAATATTTAACAAAACTTTTAGGAAACATTCGCCGGCTATTTATTGTTTATGATTGCGGTGCTGGTCAGTTACCTCTTACCCAATAGGCGACGTGGATTTGGCTGACATGCTGCGGTTCCGCGGATGCATCGCAGTGAAAAGGCAGAGAGCTTTTGAAGGAAAGAAGGCACAAAAGAGTCCAGTTTTCTTTTAAAAGTTCTATAGCAAAGAATTTTTTTTGCTCCCTATTTTTGTGTTTTTGTGCTTCTTTTGACACCTTTTATGACGATTGGTGGATGAAATTCAATTTCAGAATCGTTCGATGGTCCTTTTAATCAGGGCCGTACCCAGAAAAAAATTTGGGGGGGGGGGGGGGAGAGAGGGAGGGGGAGGGGAGGAGGAGGAGAAGGTTTTCGGGGACAACGGCGGCCATTTTGAAAGTGTCTATTGTCTTATTTTCGCCTATGAATTATGTGCATCGGTGGCATATAATGGAGAGTTACAGCAAACCGGAGAACCGGTCCCGGTTTGGTACCCAGTAGCCGACCGGCGCCACTGCGTGTGCGCAGAGGTGGAGATTAAAATCGGCTGGCTGCCAGTGCACCGACCAGGGCCGTACCCAGAAAAAAAAATTTTGGGGGGGGGGGGGGGGGGGGGGTGAGAACCCCCTAACAACCCCCCTGGTTACGGCCCTGCTTTTAATAACTCTCAACAGATGCGGTTATACTCCGTCCGGCCTTACAACGAGGGCAATGCGAACGTTTTCTGGCGATGACGTTTCGGAAAGTAACAGGACGGTCGCGGGGCTTGGCTCGTGGCCTGCCCACGGACTGTTGCGAAGTGGAGTGTCGTCCCTTGGGTTGGCCGCCTGCACTCCAGGGGGCAGCGTGGACCCCCCCTTGCCCTCTCGCACTTTCTTCTCTGCTTGATACACTGCCGGTGACTTTGGCTGTGTCCTCACTCCAAAGGGGACTGGAGCGGGCCAGGTTAAGACTTGGTCTCGCGTAATAGGAGAACCAGAAACTGTTAGGTGCCAGCCATACGTTTTGCATTGAACACCATAACCCTGTTTGGAGCTTTGCAGTGTGCTTCTCTTTGGCACTTCTTTTGCGGACTCTCGGAATCGACGTTTTGAAATGGCTCCTAACTCGAGTGTGGCTCGCGAGCATTCTCGATGATGTGTTTGAATGTCGTGAATCCCCGTGAAGGGCCAAGCGTACAGTGGCGTAGGCAGAGTCCCTAACGTCCAAGCGTGGGGACCGTCTCGCAGACGTATGGTCGGCCGGCTGCGTGCTGGCGGAGCTGCTGCTGGGGCAGCCCATCTTCCCGGGCGACAGCGGGGTGGACCAGCTGGTGGAGATCATCAAGGTGCTGGGCACCCCGACCAAGGAGCAGATCCGCGAGATGAACCGCAACTACACGGAGTTCAAGTTCCCCCAGATCAAGGCGCACCCGTGGCAGAAGGTGTTCCGTGCCCGCACCCCGCCCGAGGCCATAGAGCTGGTGGCTCGCCTGCTCGAGTACACCCCCTCGGCCCGGGTGGGGCCCCTGCAGGCGTGCGCCCACGCCTTCTTCGACGAGCTCCGGGAGCCCGGCACGCGGCTGCCCAACGGCCGGGACCTGCCCCCGCTCTTCGACTTCACCGACCACGGTCAGTCTCCCTTTCCTCACCTGTCCGTCCGGGCTTCCACCCCAGTCTCGGCTTATGGTAACACACAAGCAATTGCAGTCGAATCCCGTTAATTCAAACTCAACGAGGACTGAAAATTAGTTTGAATTACCAGGAGTTTCCTTCCATAGAGACGCTTAGGATGGGACCTGCATGGTAGTTTGAATTAATGACAGTCGACTGTACTACAAAAGTAAGCATATTAAGGAATTTCATGTATTACAATAGTTGCATCATCTTGCTCCACCATCGATGGGCTTGCTAGATCATAGAACGAAAGGAACATCTTTAAGGGGAGACGCGGCAAATAGAATGTTGATTTTCGTCGAGACGTTTGATTTTTCTATAAATATATTCTGCGAGTTTTAGGTCTTTACTCTAACCACCTCGGAGACCAATACTGGAAAATCCCATGTGCACAGGCCCCTGGCAAGCTTGGAATCTCCGCTAGCAGACATACTTGTCGGAATCCATTGGCTTTGCCTATCTGCGCTCGAGGGAACCAACGAAAAAGCATAGTAGCATTTTTTTTTTCCTGCCTCGATTGTTAAAAACGATTTATCATTGCTTCGGTAAAGGATGTGTTCTTTCCACCAAATGGTTTTCTTGGCAGAAAGTTCTGTTTTTCTTTTTTTAGTCAGGAAAACATTGTGATGTCACAGTTTATGGAAGGCATGCAAGACGGTATCTATCTTTCCGGTGTTTCTTGAAATACTTAGACATCTATAACTCTCAGAACTTAGCTACAGCTACGGCTTGGCTCTAGTCTTCCAATCAATCAATACGTCTTACCTTTGGTGCTGACATTACCGCTTTCATGAATGTCTCGCTCATACCCGTCTTGCGGAGCTGTGACTAGAAGCTCCGCCTTCAGCTGGCTTCCGCAGCGCTTCAGCGGCGCGTGCCTGAGCGTTCACACTTGTGTTAGCAAGGGCCGAAAGCTCGCGCTGTAGGCGGAGGTTCTAGTGTCAGCTCGAGGGTGACCAAAGTATAAAGCGCGATACACATGCGCGTCCAAACTGTCCGATCCGACGTGCGAACTGCCGGAACGGCGTTCGGAGGTGAGGGTTTTCGTCGCGTCAGACGAGGGCTCCGTCCGGCGCCAGCGTGCGACCAACGTGCCAGATATCGCCACACCGTTGTCCGATTTTCGGAGGGCCGCAGCCAATGGCAGCACGGATGGTGCAAAGGTCATGTTGTCACATGACTTTCGGACCGATCGGGCGAGGAGGCGCTACGTGGCTCGGGGAAGCGGATGTGGTGGTGCGCGGTGCATCACGCGACGGCAGTCTTGGTTGTGAAGGAAACGGATGCCATTGAGTTTTCCCGCGCGCACAAAACGAGCTGCTGGTTTCGTGCGCTAAAGCAAGCCGGCCTTCTGGGACCGATCGAGACCGTCGAAACCCGAATATACTCCGTTTCGCCTTATGATGGACAGCAGGGGACGCTACGAGCCATTCCAATGTCATGTGAATGTCACGTGTACTTCGGGAGAGACACAGCAATGCGCGCGGTACGTAGTCACGTGATTTGTGCGCAGTGCTCGCTTCACTGGGATGGCTCCTAAGGTCCGCTGCAATCCATCGCGATTGCGTGATGTTGAGCAGAAAAGTAGCCTCACAGAAAATCTTTACACACGCCCACTTTAATAGAATGTAATAAAAATAATTTGTTTGTTTTAGAGTAAGAAAAACCAAGAAGGGCGAGAGAAGCATTTTAGTTTTCTAGGCTAGTTGGCGCGAGCTACCGCCCGTTATAAATATAGCCGTTAGCATCCATCCATCCATTTGGTAGAAGGATACCCGAAACTGGGGGGAGCTGAACGGAGCGACGCAACGACGCGTCGGAAACCATGTGTCGCGAACCGTCCTGTGCGGTGATTCGGAGCAGCCGTCTTCCCGACAGTTCGCACGCCAAATCGGACAGTCTTGACACGCATGTGTTTCGCGCTTAATCCTGCCGACACCGTCACGAACTACAACAATAAAAGGCAGCAGAAAATTTATTACAATATCTGCAATGTCAATATGCTGCGTAAAAACGATTGTACATATAAGATCCGAGGTCATTACAAAAATGAATGTACGCATACGCTTAATTGACCAGAAAAAAAGGAGTTTCTAAGATTCTCTGGCATTTCTCACTAATGCGACAGTAAGAGAGCATTATTGCGTGGATAAAATTGAAACTCGTTTCCAATTGTTCAGTTGATGGCTTACTTCCTTTACGTACGACAAATGCCAGCACTTGGAGGACAGTATTGCTACTCAGTCAGCCTTTCTAATTTTACTTCACCATTTTGTTAGGTTTATGCGCTGCTGTGTCTTTTCTTCGGTCTGCCGCCTTTCTGTTCGTCTTTTTTGTTCAGTTTATTTTCCCGCGGACACTGTGTTAGAGCCATTGGGCTGTTCATTTTTATTATTGCTTTGTTTTCTATGTTTTCGACTTTCTCTCAGCAGCTTCGTTGCTTATTAACATATGTCGTCTGCTATGTTATGCCCATACCCTTGATTTTGTGTCTTTGAACGCCGAGGCATTTGTGCCGTCCGCAATGTTCAGCGTACGCAGCAGATGAGCAGTTTTCCCCGAAAAACTGCTAATCTGCTGCGTAATCGCAAGGCAAAAAACAAATTATTTGTTGATCTCCAGCCGCCTGTGGCGGCTACGGGAACTAAAATGACGGCGTCTCTGGGGGTACGCGGAAGTCAACAAACCCTGTCTTCCTCCGCTGCTACACTCGCCGTCAGCCCCATGGTGAACCGACCTTTGTTTCCATCGCTCGCCGCTACCTTCGACGAGGCTAATCCTTTAGAAGTCGATAATCGCGGAGGAAGTGGCTGGTCTCTGAAGAGAGGACCCAAGGGGAAACTATGTGAACCCCCAGAGTATGTCACTCGAGAGTCGACGTGGAGAGTGGAGAGGCACTTTAACCTTAGATTTGTTTCTTTTTTTTTTTTTTTTTTTTTAAATAAAAATTAGCGCTTGCAAGAAAATGCGGTTTTCTGTTTTTCGTTCCATAGGTGACGCAGATTAATTTCCGCAGTTAATTGGCCAAAGTCTGAAAATCGTTGTACTGCCCCTTTAATGTGGGAAACTCGAGGAAGATTAGAAGTTTGTTCAACACCGAGGTACTGATAAACAGAAAAACAGCGATGATGGGTGAATTGTTGAGTGAATATGCAAAGTCTGAATTTGTGCGTTTACGTGTGAAGGAAACAAGTTTACATCTGTGTTAAGGGTTATTCACCATTTGTGGCACCAGTTAACTACCCGGTCAGTATCACTTTGGAGATGTAAGTGGTCGTCAGGGTTGTTCATCTTTCTGTACAGTACACAAGCGTCGACAAAGGGATGTTAGTGATTGCAGAAGACCATTAACCCCTTAAGTGCCGTGGACAGGCTCAGCTCGTCCAGTGGTTTTTTCGGTAGCCCTCAATTCCACGGAAGAGCTAGGCTCGTTCGAGTAGTTTTGCGACGCTGATCATAGATGGCAGCACTTGTTTTTGTTGCCAAATATTCTTTTCGCCTCTACTGATCTTTGTGTAATAAACTTTTCAAATTTTATGTGTAATATTAGAGCAGGGATGGGCAAAATACATGGAAATATGTATTGAAATACAAATACAAAATACTTCGTCAAAAATGTATTTAATTACAAATTTAATTACATTTCCAAAAAAGAATTTAAATACAAGATACAAATACAACCAAATGTATTTGGTCTCCTCCAAATACTTTTCCAAATACATTCCTCAAAATTTGCGTCAGCGACTTCAGGGCACCTGCAACGGGTTTCTGGGTATCTCATTTTAATTTTGCATCGCACACTCGGGAGTTAGTGTGCGAGGCTCTAGTAACGTAATAGAAATATAATCACAACAAAAATGTAATCAGCTTGGACGTAATAGGTGAAAAAAGTACAGAGCTTCAAGCGGCTTTTTTTGTCAATTACATTTTGTTATTGGCCTCGAGATCGACCTAGAGGTGGCGCTACCGTCGCGCTATCATCATCATCAAAGCGGGGATACGAGAACGGCCGCCCCATAGGCTCTCCACGTTCGCGCGCGAGACGGCGTAGATTCTTCCGTTTATTTTGTCGCATACTATCGGAGGGAAAACAATTCTTGCGGAAAAGGATGCAGTACTGTTCGGTGCTTCAGTGAAAATCGAATCGTGTTGCCAGCGTGCGGCCTAAATTTATATAATCGCTTCTGTGGGTGCGTCGTCTGTTCTACGCAGACGTTGGAAAGCATGGATCACCACAACTGATGCCTGTCTCCAGCTGAACTGTAATATTTATGTTAAATATTTGTTTCTTTTAAAATGAATGTATCGGTTCATCAACGTGCGAATTAAAAACAATAATAAATTCCAACCCAGATAACATAATCATAGAAGCTGTGAAATCGCAGCTTCTATGATTTTTTAACTTCTATAGCTTTTGCAGCAATATACATATTTAGAATAAAGATAAGTTAGCGCTGTATTGGAAATTACCATGCTATTTAGTTCCTCTGCCCTTTTACTGTGCGATAGTGTGTGTAAGTTTTTTTGGAGTCTGAACAAATTTACTGCGTTGCGATGAGGAGAGAGAGTCTCTTCCAGTTAAATTCTGCAAACTGCACGGTTGACAGGACAACTGAAACAAGTGAAACAAACTCTTCTAATATATCTGCCGTGACTGTAATAAACGGGTGTGACCGAGCAACGCAGCAATGTTCCTGCTATTAAATGCTTTTCTCGGTAGTGTGGGTTCACCCGCTTCAATTTTCCTGGTGAGGGCCACGGATGTCAAGAGGCTACTACTATAAATTTCTGGCTATATAATTGTAGCGGCAGCTCTCGGCAGCGATCTAGCGCTTGAACGGCGAAGGGCCCCTCGATGAGGTAGTCAAAAAGGACAGTGTAAATATTGTAAATAAATATGTAGAGTGTGATTTACCGAGCCTCTGCTCCTACATAATCTTGTATTCAAACACAGT